GTCATATGTTGTGGCTGCAAAGAAAAACATATGGCACTGACCATGCCTACCATAACAGAATTCCCTACCCAAAAGGTAGAAAAAAGTAGACACAGCATGTACCACAAAACTTTATAAATGCATCATATAGATGCATTTCAGACAAAATTCAACAAAGAAATTCAGTTCACGCCATTAAAACTTTTATCTTGTTGCCACTGTTCACACAAAACCTCCTCATCCACAGCGGAATGCAGCTCCCTCCTTCTCAGGAGGGATGGACTTAAAAAAGGTATCTCTGCAGCACAGATGAGTGATTACAAAACAAATAATGGCTTAGCTTATCAGATCAGATTTACTTATTTTCATAACAACTACCACCATCAATCAGGAATCAAGCAGCTACTATTCACATCAGAGTGAAGCAAAGATAATTCAATACATAAAGCTCTGAAATAGACATAATTTGAAGGCGAGTAAGCAGGCGTTATTTTTTTATGAGCTCTATTGTATTGCTTTAATAACAACCTGCTTTTTAAAAGACCTATTTAACTTTCCCAGCCAAAAAACATGTGAAAAACTGTCTCCCAGCCAAAGCATGTTCTAAACTCACACAGCGATATTTTACATCACATAAATGTAAATTCACTCCACAGGGCATTCCTTGATGCAATGGAAGACTCAAAACCATCAATCCTGTAGGTCTGTAAACAGCCTTTCCTCCAGCCTTGACAAATACAATCCTCACCACTTCATTTCCTTGCAGATTGCTGCTCCAAAGCTCATTGCACTGGCCAGGAAACTCCAGCTTTTTAATCTCTTTTCTATGATATCAAATATGAAGCTCTTGATTTTGCAGCTGAGGATTTTGTTAGGCTGTTCCCTCATCACCTCACACCAAGCTTATGAAACTTACACAGTACCTGTAAGGCTGCTGTGCTGCAGAGACCGTTGCATTTCCTGAAGGCCAGTACTGTGAGGTATACTGTGGTGCAAAGTCAATCTCAGTGTTAATTCAGTGTGTTCTGGGATCTCCTGTGGTGAGCTCAGGATCAGGAGTGCTATTGTGTAACTGCAGCCACACTGAAAGTTGGCCATTACAAATGAACGATAGCACTGTAAATCCACAACTGCGTAAAATAACATTGATCCCCATTCTTCCCCTGGTCATCCATGATTTACCATCCAACTGTTCAGGACTTTTACAGTTAAAAAACCAACAAAACAAAGCCCACCCCCCACACCATTCCCCAAACCCATCACTGTAAAACAGTAAGAGCCACACTTTTAATGTCTTCATAAAAATCTCAATATTTCTATACTCCTGTGACTTTCAGCCCTTATTAATCTCCCAGATTACAACCATGATGTAAACAACAGCAGTTCTCCCCATCAACTTCTCTTAGCTATAACAAATCAGGAGTTTATTACCTCCTCACATCACCCAACACCTCTGTCAAGACCTCAAGACTCATAATTATTCACAGAAAGGCCCTTTAGTTGCTTTGTGGAAGGATCTCCTCCTGACAAATATTTGCTTTCATAAAAAAGTTATACACCTTTGTTTTGCTCCCTCTGCATGGTGTTTATTGTCAGTGCTGGCCTACATGAAGATGCAGAGATATTGGCATTTTTGCATACTACTTTAATATAAGCCAAACATAGAAAGGAGTTACTCTGTGCATTCTTGCAGTCTGAAAACCTAGTGTGCTAGTGCTTGACAAAAGAAATGCTTCAAATGCTGCAGAAAATAAATGAATAAATAAATAAATACAAACTTTTTCCCACCCTGATTTCATTATTTGGATTATTGCCTAGATAATCCATTTGAAAACCAAATGCAGCCTAGCAACTGTCTTGAAAATTGAGTAACCCCAGGTTCAACTGCACTATAAAACTTCAGCTTCAGGCAAAACTGATGGAACAGCTCATTTGCAGTACTTTCACCAAGCCCTGGCCCTCATTGTATGTCTTTCTGATTACACTTACATTGTGTTACAATTTACTGGCAGCACTATAGTATTACAATATGTATTACCACTAGCCAACTCTGACTGTATGCATTCAGTTTCATCAAGAGCTAAAGACACATGGCTCGATGCATATTCATTGCTGCATCGCCATTTCTCAGATGTTAAAACAGCTGCATGAATCAGCAACAAGTTTCACAACTTAAAATAGATGTAACCCTGCAGGATACTTGGGCTCACTGTGCATTATGATTCCCACTCATAGGCTGGTAGGAGCTAAGGACATAGTGCACTTAACTACAGTATTTCTCCACTCAAGCATAGCAGTACCCTAAAGGTATAAGCTACATTAGTGTTTCAGTTTGGAGCAGAAGCGTGCTTGTGTAATAAATCTCCTATCCACTGGGACAGATGAACTCATTTTGATGGAGCTGTACCAGAAATGCACCAGTGACTTCCACCTGCTAGTAGCATGTGTGCTTCTGAGGACCAAACTATAGCTACAGAAGGGTAAACCCTCTTCAAATGCATATAGTGTTTTCTGGATCTTCAGTACAAAAGGCTTTGTTCTGCAGATCTGCTCCTCTCTGCCCACACTAACTGCTGAACGTAGACAGAGCTGAACACGGCTGTCTGACTACCACAGAGGAGCTAGCACTTCTGGCTAGCCTTTTTGGAGAAAGGAATTCACAATATAAACTTTGGGGTTGGACGGTTTCTACACTCAGCGAAGAAAAATGTTTCCTTTAAGTTAACAGCCCTACCTGCCTATGAAAAGAAATCATCTAGCAAATACATACCTTCTGTTCAGAGGCCATTCTGAGCTCTCTTCCAGGTCCTCAGCTAAAAAATACCATCTAAGAGCACACACAAAATTATCCAGTGAACAAACAAACTGCATTTTGGTTTTATTCATTTGCTATGCCAAGAAACTCTAGAATCACTCATACTTATTGCAGTTATTGTACTTCCGATATTTGTTAGTCCTTCCCCTATCTGGTGTATGCACCACTGATTATCATGGAAAAATCTAGTGTTACACTATCTCCGCATGTTTTTATCTGTCATCACATGCATAGACATGCATGTGCCACTGACAGAAGAGCTTGGTATTTATTTTAAATTACTGGAATGATAAGGAAAGTGATTGTTTTACATTAAAATAATATAATGCAAAACATTTAATATGGAAAGAGATTCCTGAACACTTTGTTTGTTCAGTATGTTTCTCATACAACCATGCTACTGCTACTGCAATACAACAAATATTATTGTAGATATTGTTGTTAACAATACATAGAAACCACATATCCTGTAGGAATTTCAATATATATTTGCTGTGTTTCCTTAGCTGGTGACACAGACCCTTCCTTCCCCCTACTTCAATGCAAAAACAAACCCTACATGTGATCACGTACAGAGTTGTGCCTAATTATATAAATGTACTAATTATACACACTTTTCAAATGGTGATAGACTTCAAAGTAGGTAAATTTTAAATTGTGCCATTAAGGAAATCTATTTGATGATGGAAATTTCTGTAATATCATATTGCAATCTCCTACATCGTAATTTTGCTTTCAAGTCTGTATTAGTCTAATGACAAAGAACAGCAGAGAATAATAGAGTTGGGAAAGCAAACTGAAAGCTGTAAGATTTACAATGTGATGTTGGTCAGCAGATGCTAACAGAAAGGAACAAAAACAATTTAGAAAAGGAATGGATCTAAGGTAAACAATGAGTAGAAAGAAGTCCTGCATCTTAAATATGAATACCAAACCTTCAGAAACCACTCAGTTAATAAACACCTGCCAGACTGACTTATCCCCATGTGTTCAGATACTTACAAGAAAATACATATATATGTCACTGAACACTTAATTTACATGCACAGTTATCACACTGCTAAGCACGACTTGCAAATTAGTTAATGCAGTTCAGAGAATCTCTTTGCATGCAAAATAATGCCAACTGTATATATAAACCAACTCTAAAATGCACACATAGCTCAGCCCACCAATGTCATGCGCACATTTAGGCAAACCAAACTACCGCACAAAACTTCAGCACATGCACCTCCTTTTTGGACCTTGGTAGATGCTTCTGACTGATATAACCCCACTCTCCAAAAAAAAAAACCAGTTGTTTAGTTCTAATGTTAAATATACACCAAAACCCCATGTTCATTAACATAACACTTGAGTTAATTCATAGTATAAATGAATGTATGAAAGCTGATATTCTTTTAGCACTACTTAATAGTTATTCTCTGTAGATTTGATGTCCTAGGTGTGGAGGTTTTTTATATAAATTAAAAGAATTGATATATCTCTGCTGTGGAATCTGAATCTTGCATTGACAAGGCCACAAGGAAGATCAGACAGCAACTGCAATGCAGCAACACTATAGGCCACTAATCCCTCTACCTTTGGTTAAATAATAGCTTATGTGGCAGGGAAGAGACAGAATCCATCTTCAATGAAAAACAGAACCGTGTATAGAAAGGTTGATCTTCTCTCACACAAATTCTAGTGTCAAAACAAATAGTCTTACTAAGTCAGGGGCTGTCACATTTAACTGAAGACATTTATGGAATGGCTCGATAGAAGCATCTTATAAGCAGCAGGTGGGTGATTCTGAGTTATCAAGATCAAATATTGATCAGGACTTTCCCCCATTGTTCAAGAACTCTTGGGTCTGAGAGTTTGGATACACCGTTCAAAGTGAGGGGTCCAGATACACTTGAATACCTTTAAGATCACAGATTTTCTCCTCTGGCACACCCACATAAACTTGTAAAAGATTAAAAATATCTCTGCACAAGTAACTATTTTTCTTCCTGCACAGCTATAAAATGACTCACACACAGAAAAAAAAAATCTCGCAGAAGTTGGAATTTAAAGCAAATACGATGCAAGTTCAGTACTGGAATGAGGAGGTCCAATAGCAACACAAAGACAATGCACAGCACAAGAAGTGATTTTGTGATAACTGGTGACAGCTTTGACCTCTGCTTACATATGAGCCCTTCCATGCCCTTCCCAGTGTTACCTTTTGATATCTTTCCTTAGATCTCAAGGCAGCTTCCATCTGTTCAGGAGAAAATGTGTAGATGGCCGAGCGATACTGTGTGCCAACATCCCCACCTTGTCTCATTCCTGGGGAGAAAGAAAACACAGCACACCATAAGGATCACCCTCCCTACCTGACTAGGCTGCAGGCCTAAATTCAATAAACCTAAATTTAGGATATTCCATACACCTGATTAGCACAGTCTCTTATGTACATACTCAGTAGGTATTTTTAGGAAGTCCAAGTCTTTCCTTGGTTAAATAGTCCTGAAGAGATTCAACTCTGATATCTCCTTCTAAATGACATGCAAATGAAATGTGAGCATTTCACATTTTGGTAAATCATACAGTAGTCAAATACAGATGTAAAACCTTAAATAATCAAGCTAGAGTTACTGTAATCAAGGTACTCTTAAATTATTTATTTTGAACTATGAAACGTTTACAAAAAAAAAAGTTTATTTTACTAAGTGCTTAAAAACTTTCTTGTGCTGGGGGAGTACCTCTTAATGGGAGAAAGATTCAAAACACCCTTGGAGGTAATTAGCTATTCTTCTCTATTCACGAACCAAGACTGGTATGCATGTATTGTCAAGTTACCTCTGAAGTTATCCATTCCTAACAGCATCTCTTACGAAGCTCTCAAATCTGAGCTCCAAAGAGCACTCTGATAGAGAATTGTGCTAAGGAGAAAGGTTTAGATAAAGCCTCACTGAGTTAGTACTGTTACAGAGTGAGCAATGCCTAGGAACAGCAACCCTTTCACAATTTTTTTTTTGAGTTTGGGAAAAGTAGAAAGCACAGGTATATATGGATATATCTCTTTAATTCTATTTGCAACCTACACGTGGATAATACAGACAGCAAAAGTATCTAATACTGTTTATATGTGACATTTTGAAAACAAAACCCTAGTTAGACATATCCGTAACTCCTTCAAATTATACCATAAATGAGTAATTCTGGTAATTAGTCCCTTTAATACTGATGTATGCAAATCCCTTCAAAAGACTAGTTGCATGAAGTTGCTCATGTATGAATTTTCAAAATATGGGATGGCTACTACCTACAAAACTATAAAATAATGGGCCAAAGCAGAGAGAAGATTACTAACCCCTTAGGTGACGAGTTCAGGAATGGTTTGGCATTATGTTGTCCTAGGCAGCCACGCTGGCCAAAGGCACTGCTGTCTTTCATCACTATCCACTCTCCTTTCCCCAGGCAGCAACACTGCAAGCCAGCTCTGCTGTGGATCATTCCAGAAAGTCAAAAAACAGCCTTAAAGAGGAGCTTTAGCATTAAGAATGGTCTGGAGGTGCAGTTTTGCAATTGCTATTTCCCAGTTTCTGTCTTTCATACCTCGTTCCCAATTTTGCATTCAAAATGGCGTTTCTCTAATAAAAAGTATTCGGTTTGAGTTTGTCTGGTGTTGTATATGGACTTGGATGAGTTAAAAAGCTGGAGGGTCTGAAGCAGACTCAGACAAGCAGACTCTTCTCAAATGCCTGCAACCCAAGACAAATTGGAAATCATCGGGATTTGTATTTTGACTGCCACCAGAATACAGAAGCCCCTTTGAAGATTACCATCAACTCTCAGGACTGTAGAGATGAAATGGAAAAAAAACTGTACACCCTGATGCCCCCCTAGCAAAAGGCAGAGGATAGAGAAAGAGCCTGTGATACTGGGGGGAAAAGACGCTACCAACATAATACTACTCATTAAAACATGATAACTTTTATCCCTCTTGCACTTTCCAAGGAAACAGACAACTGGTTTAAAGGATAGTACAATAAATAAAATCTGGCTGAAACAGGTATGAATGAAAAGGTGCAGAAATATTTTGAAAGATGCATTTGGACAAAAATTCCATTCAGTGACCAACAGTATACATCAGAGATGTGATTCCAAAAAAAGTTACAGAGTTTTCTGATGATTTGGTTTACTTTTTAGCTGCTAAAGTGTTTCATTATTACACACAAGAACAACAACTACCTTCTTCATCAATACTTAATAGTGTAGTCTGCAAGGCAAAAAATACTTTGCTCATTTCTTTGCAAGTATTTTAGAGTAGTAGGGAGCTCTTGTAAAGCCAGTGTTACTGAATATTAAGGCACAAAATGAATACAGTAAAGGCCAGTAAAGCATTAGTTTTGCCAAGATATGTTAATGCTGATTGATGTTTGAGCTTAAGAATTAGTATTCAACAAATCTATTTACTGCTTAACAAACTACTTAACAACCAACTAAGGAGTTGATTACAAAAATCTCCATAAATGGAGGATCACTATGTAGTATACCAGCTTCAAGCAAGCATTTCAAGAGTATGAGTTTAGCATAAACTTCTGTGTAAGGTGCTCTGAGTGAGAAGATAAACAAGATTATTTAACATATGCACATGCCACCATTGCATAGCAATAGGGAAGTGGTCAGCTTAATTTACTGAAGCAAAGTTTAAGAGGAGAACTGATTCTGATTCACAAATACGGATATGACATAGAGAAAGACCCTGAGAAATAAGGCTCTTTAGTTTTGCCAATGTTGCCTAACTATGTAGGCCAGTTTGAAGTCAAAATATACAAAATCCAGATGGGAAATAAGGCAACATTCAAATAGCAAAGAGCATTTATCAGTGGAACAATGCACCTAAAGCCATATCCCTTTCCTGAGGGCTTCACATTAAGGATATACATTTTCCGTAAAGATATACCAAAGCTCAAAGAGCTGTACAAGGTCAGTGATAGAATTATGAAGTTAAGGAGGAGGTCGAACTGTGCAACAGTAACAGCCCCTCCTAGAACTCAAGTGTCGGCTTGCACTGTTAAATCATCCATTAGCTATGAAGAAGACTGAACAGGTATTATAATTATTAGCCCAAAGTGTAGCTTTAATGTGATCAATCATCTGAGCTAAAATGCCATTCATTTTTCCATGTTACTTAAATCAATTTGTACCTAAATCTCCCACAATCAGTAGCTAATACATTAGCTAAAGCACAAAGACTACGAGATAATAAAATAAATTCCATGCGTATAGACATAATCAATTACTAGTGTTGCTGTTGTTATTTGTAATATACCTCACACATGCAAACCTACTTCTCAAGGGTCCATCACTGATTTTTTAAAACCCTCTGGCAAGTCTTACTTGTTGAGATTCACTAACTCAATGAGTAGCAAACAAGGCAAGATACTCAATTTATTAAACAACTGTGGTAGGATGATTGAGCTTAACAATCCTGTCTTTGTCTGAAAAAATAAAGTCTACTAAATAAAAAATTATCTCTGCTTGGCTATCTAAAAAATCCACAATGTCATCTGCACTTAAATTTCCTTCCTTTTCTGAAATGACTTTCTTATTTTGTCTGTCACGGCATTCTGTCTCTCTCCATTAACATTAGTCATATACATTAGGTTTCAGATAAGAAAGAGAAAATATAAATAATAAATTTAATAAAGATGCTAAACATATGTGAAGATACTTGTCACTGCTAAATCAAAACACATTCTTACAGGTGATTAATACCATTGATTCTAGCTGCACTGGATGCTCATTAGACTATGAAAAAGTCTTCTGAGACATCTTCGGTTCCACTGAATCATGGAATGGTTTCCCAGTGCCAATCAGAATCTTTGTAACTACAGACTACCACGCAGAATTTAAAGGGCTACCCAACATCCCTGCTGTGATGCAAACACAGCCAAAGCCTGGGTGATTTACTTGATTTTTACTGGTGAAGAAGGTTTAGAGCAGAGACAAGTCCTTGAGCTTCACATCAGGTCCTCCAGGATTCCAACACTAGAACCCTCTTGGCCAGCTCAGGGTTTTCAAGGTCACCCCATATCATCTGGGTGTACTTTCCAAATGTCAGTGGTACAAGACAGTAACTGGCAAAAAGGCAAATATCCACCTCCCTGACCAGGTGATCAGAAGCACATCCAACAGTTGCAGGAACAAATATACCCTGGAGTCAAAAGGCTGGCACTTGCTGTTGATGCCTGAGACAAAGAAAAGTGGCTGCTATGCTGAGAATGGCCATAAAATCTTTTGTCAAAGAGATATTCAGATAGAGAAGCTGATTTTAGAAGTGACAGAAAAGCACAGAATTTGCAACCCTCTAGCAAAAGACAAAAATACCTGGTTTTGGATACAGCTGCACAGTGCCAGAGTATAAGCCCAAAGCCTGTGTGAGAACTGGACAGTCCTCGTAAGCTCTTGTCTCTGGAGAACCAGTGAGAATGAGGGCATCTGGAGCTCTAAATGTCTTTAGATTTTGGGCATGGATCATATTTACGAATTTCACTTTGGCTGACCAAAGCTGACCACTCTGGAGAACATAAAATTTTCTCACTGTGCCAGCAAACAGAACACCAATTAATCAAAAAATGCACTCAAGAGCTGAGCGCTTGCTCTGACTTACACGAAATAAAAATTCATGGCCACAGGAAGGTAGATGGAGAGAACAGGGAGCTGTGATGTTCTCCCAGATACTGCAAAAAGGAACAATTGCCAGGTTGAGATAGCCATGCAACCAAGCATACTGCCATTGGATTAACTGTTATTTGGCAAAATGTAGATAACAATCAAACAAATGGCTCTAAAAAGCCCTCTAACCTCTCTGACATCTTCTAATGCACCTGGGTGGGAATTACTTCATTTTGGTCTCCCACATATTTCCTTCATATTTCGTTGGCATCAAAGTAGTAAATACTGGCTCCCCCTTGATTTCAATGACTAGAATAGATTAAATCATCCTGGTTCTATTCAGCTGGTCAATACTTTTTCCTTCATAGTTTCTATACGTTGTCAAAACTACAGTGTATTATTGGCAGGGGCAAAGAGTTCCCCCTTTAAAGCAATTACACAGCTATTACACTACAATTTGGGTTTCTGTTGAGATGCATCTTAGGTGGGTCGCTGTCCTTCCTGTCTAACTCCAGAGTATCTTGAGGTCAATAAGAAATAGTAATATCCACAGCATTAATAAAACCATAGATTTTTCAGTACTATGCTGTTGGGTTTTTTTTTTCTCTAGAAATTGCAACCAACCAGATTTGTTTCAAAACAGTGATTGTTTAATGTATTAC